TCTCTCTCTCTCTCTCTCTCTCTCTCTCTCTCTCTCTCCGTCTCTTTCCTTACCTTCCTCCATTCTTCCTCCCTCCTTCTTTTCTCTTTTCCTTTCCTTTCCTTTCCTTTCCTTTTCCTTTTCTTCATTTTTGTCTGTTTAGGTGGTTTCCGGAACTCACTAGGTAGCCCATGTACCCAGGCTGGCCTGGAACTTCCAATTATCCTTCTGCCTCAGCCTCCCAAGTACTGGGGTTATATCCTATAGTGTTCCTGAGAAAGGGATTCACAGTATCTCTAGGATGTTCTTCCAACTGTCAGCTCCCATTCCTTGTGTTTTAAGGAACTTTATTAATCTTGACAGGTTTTCAGACAACAGCTAGGACTTCTACCCCCTCTGACCAATGTCCTTACATCATTTGCAGCCTAAGATGCTGAGGGTGGCATTGGTCCAGGCACACAGCTGGAACTGCCGTGGTAGCTCCCTGTCTTACCTCCAGGGACCACATCTCAAGATACTCCGTGGATGCCCAGTACCAAAGATGGTACCAAACCCTATATATACCAAGGTTTTCCTGAACCATACCTATATACATATGATAAAGTTTGATTTGTAAATTGACCACAGTAAGACATTTAAAATAATAATGAAACAGAACAATTATATAACAAGTTATTTAGAATATCAATTATTTATTTTTGGAACTTCCTCTTTCATAGCTTCAGACTCTGGTTGATTGCAGATAACCAGAATGAAGCAGGTGGATGAAGGGGTTACTTTGTCTGCATGCAGGCAGTGGTCGCCCTGCAGGCCTTGTTGGCTGCTGGTATACAGAGGGCTCACATTAGAGCAGGTGAGGGAAGGAACAGGAAATCTGATGGCTGTTGGAACCTGGTGGCGGGGATGGGAGACAGTGGGTAGGGAGGTGCTTAGTCACTCTCCTCCTCTCTGGGGCACGGCATCCTGCACCCACAGCTTCAAGGAGGAGAGCTTGGTCGTGGCTCACATTTGCAGCCCACAGTTGGCTGGTGCCAGGGCAGAAACAGCACTGCGGAAGGGCCTCATCAAGGAAGTGTGTTTCTGTCTGTCATGGTGACCAAGGGGCAGAGAGTGAAGGCAGGGCCAGGACAAGAGATGCACCCTTGCGGGTCCAGCCCAGCCTGGCTCCCAGCAGCACACTCAGCCACTGATGGACACAGAGCATGCAGGGTCTCCATCACCTCCCAAAGCCTTGCCTCATGGCGCATGAGAGTTCTGTGGGACATTCCAGCACCAAGCCACAGTAGACAGGAACTCGGGACACAACTACGCTGATTCTTGTTATACCCAAGCCACAGCCTTTTGCAAACACCCATGTTTTTTCAATTAACCTGACAATTTATTCTTTCCATTTCTGCTTACCCTTAAATGGGAGGTAGCTTCTGAGTTTTAGTTTTAAATATTTTTACTTCTGTGTCTTGCTTAACATTTTGACGTGTAACATATTTGAGGTAGTGAGAAAACTCCAGATTTGGGAGAAGCACGTATGTAGTCCTTCTGTCGAGGACATCCTTAACCAACATGCACTTCACCCTCTGAATCATCCCCACTGGTGCGCCGGAGATTTCCTTCCTGTCATGACCCCGGCCTTCCTCAGGCTTGTGAACATAAGGAGCACTTGACACCAGACCATGACCTAGCTCGCAACTTTCTAGTGCTTGATGAATCCTGCGTGGCTGGACAGACATGGACTGGCTTTCAGAGAACTGTTCTGTTGCCACTGTTGGCTGAGTCACAGCTTGTGAAGGACAAGTGAAAATCAGTACTTCCCTTGAGTGACACATTTATGAGGTATAAAACACATTCACTTTTTTGAAGTCACCCGGGGTTCACTCTCTTTGCCATCTGGTTGTCACAGCATCAAAGTACCTGATGAACTGGTGATGCGCCTTGGCCTGTAATTTAGAATTTGATTCTAAGGCAAAAA